CCTGATGTTTAAGTCTTTTTCACCAATACGAATGGTCGCCTTATCCACAATAAGTTTGTCGACAATAGATTTAGCACTCAAATAGAAGCAGATACGATTTTGATTAATACGAGAGGCGTACAAAATGTCTTTTGCGTTAATGATTTTCGAGAGTTCAACAGCATATTCTTCCACTGTATGACCTTCCACGGTATCAACAATAATTGCTTGTTCACGCGATAGTACTTTTTCTTGTTGGATAACTTGCGAGAACGATGCTTTTGCTGTAGTCATATTTTCGGTTACGTAATCGGTTGTCATTTTGCGCGTGTCTCTGTAGTCAGAGATTGGACGCAGAAGATAGTTAGTACTAAATGGAAATTTAAACAAAGACTAGTTTTTTCTTTTTCACAGGTCGGTGAAACATATCACTTATCGACACACAGGGAACTATCACAAGCGCACTTCGTGAGCCTCGGTGCGCGTTAGTAAACACGTCTTGACGGCACGACGGTCGACAAGCGAATCTACAAAAGTAATTATTGGACAAAAATGTAATGCCTTACTAGATATTTTTACGTTGTTCATTATATATTTAGATAATCAAAAATAACTTATAAAATAAATTAACAGAAACAAGAAATAGACGGAGCTATACGGACTTCTGAGCATTCGCAACACAGACTTACAATTTCTACAAAGGGACGAACTGATTTCTATTTCTAATTGATGTGACACATGAGTTTCACCAGTACGGTGCACAAAGAAAAACCCATCCCTCACTTCTCAAGCTCACGCGCGCAGTTTTGTTGCACGCCTCGGGGACACTCGCACGTTTGCTATAGCGTTAGCGCGATAAGTACTCACACGGTCTGAGGGCTCACACCTTTTAAAGTTACACACACAATAGAATCCGTATACGTCTCGTGGTGCCATAAACAGTATGCGCTACAATGGAGCAAAGTTTAATTAAAAGCGCGGCGCCTTTCGCGCGGATACCACTAATTAATTTGCGCGCCCTCCTGAGCTTTGCGTACACGAGTTATCCAGGTATGGTGAGATACATTCGTGTAAAATCGTGATAATATATTTGGAGTATTGATTTGCAGATATGTTAGGTAGGGTGACATCACTCATTGAAAAATTTGACTTCTAAGGTTTATATTTATAGCTAGATAGCACAACTTGACTGACAGACGACGTGACTTCAGATTCTTGCAGACTCATTCAAACAATATAGCTAATTTGGATCTACAACTTGTTATAAAACATAAGATTACTGACAAGTAAAGGCAGTCATTGTTTGGTCAAAATAAGTTTTATTAAATAAATACGTTCTTTGGACACTTCTTGGTATAGACGGGTACTACATCTAATGAATGATAAAAGACTTAGCATTAACAATTAACTATGAATGTAAAGCTCCTTTTCACTATGCACGTATTACCATCTAAGTTTGTTTTATTATCACCAAAATACTCTTGAATATTTCGCAATGCAATATGTATATATAAGTACCTACACGATCATTCCTGCAAAGGTGAATTGTTCTTCGCTTTAAATAAACTTCATTTATCAATAAAAAGCAAAAGCGTAAACATTCCAGCGGAAAACAAGCACCAACAAAGTCGAGTGATTATTGTTGATTCCGAATTTGAATTAGAATTATAACTTTCGCACTATTGCCTTTTCATTGCTAGCCGTGAGTAACGGCGGCCGAGTTTCTTTCTGTTTGCTTTCCTTATACGAGTACGTTCCTCATTTCCCCGAATGCCCACGATGTTTGTTGTGTTCGTTAGTTTTACTTTCGACGTTTCTCGAAGTGAGCCGTCGAGCCGCCGCCGAGTTAACTAGTTCTGTATGCGTGCACCTGCCTTGCCGAGGTATTTATCCGACGAGGCTCTAAAACTTTTGATAAGGTTGGATTGCACATAGTTTCGTCATTTAGTTCAGATGACGGCTGTACAGCGTGGCTTAGAAAAAATTACTGCTAGAGTTGATGGTCGGTTGAAACAAATGTAGATATAAATTGTAATTTTCTATAATAGCAATAATTAGGGCATGAAGCTTCAGTATCTTAAGTCAATGATATTTTGATTTATATATTACAATCCGATTCATCAAGTTCATTGTTCCGAGATTTTACGAATCTGAACATTTTTTTCTAAAAACACTTATAGCTAATATTCTTCTACAGGAAACAATCTATGAGAAAAATGTAACCGCCATTTCCCTCCAATGATCTGCTTAAATTATAGATTGTGAATGTTTGAAATAATTACTGTTAATTAATATTGGTTTTTCCAGTGCGGTTAATCATTTTCTCAACGTTTTGAGCTGCCGTTTCCTCTAATGAAAAGGTGAGATTTTCAGCTATCGTTTCATGTTTACAATGAAAATAAAATTCTAGTGCCCATCATAATCAATCCAACAGCTGGATATTACCATCGGGGTTTTGATTTTTTTATGAACAAACGGCTGCATAAAACACTGAAAATGATTAGTCGTACTCGGAGTAGCGGAATTTATTGATCATTATTATTTCAATCATCCACGACCTATAATTCAGGCAAACCGTTATTGGAGGAAGTAACGAAAAAAAACGAGTATTGATCGTGTATCTATATAGAGATGTAGAGAAGGTTGAAGAAAACACAACAGTTAAAAAATGTAACTCTCATTTTCCATCCATCTTTGTCTTGTGTATAAATAAAAGTGTACTTAAAGTTTCTCATATAAAAATGAAAGTGAAATAATGGCAAAAAGTAGCTGTAAAATAAAAATCATTAAAATTGTATTTGCCGTAGGAATTTGCGCAAGTCTCAAGAGGGGCACGTTTGGCGCTTGTTAAAAACTTTATCCCGAGAGTCGAGATCCGGATGAAGCAGCAAGCGCGTGTCCGCGCGCTCGTAACAAATTGGCAATATCTCCAACAGTGCGCGCGTCCGCAAGTCGTTAGGAGAGCTCTCACTGTATAGCCGGGCACTGGAGTCAAAACTCAAAGTTGATATTTCCGCTATGGAAATTAGACACCTCTCTCTCCCACCCTCTCTGTCTCATGCCGGCAACCGCTATAGACTTTTCGACGCGTGTATAATGCGCGCGAGTCGCTCACTCGCACTCACATGCGTGTGTAGTAGACGACTGGCTTTCGCTCGCATTAACAAATTTGCATTTGATTTGCACGGCTTCATGCTATATACTGTGCTTATAGTGCTTCGGAGCTCTTGCTCTTTCTCTTTGATTGTCGACCTGCCATTCAACTAAGTACTGCGTGTATTTGAAGTTGCTGTTATATTTGAGTTGCTCACATGGGCTTTCAAATGAATTGCGGGATATTGTCGTTCGATTAGATTTACGTACTATTTTATTTATTTACGTCGAACGCGACTATCTTTTTGTGAGTTTATTTCATTTTACTCACAATTCATCGTTACGTTTATTTACATAGCAGCGACAGCCGTACTATGTTTGTAGAACGAATATTTATCTCTCAGTATGGGTTGTACCTCGAAAGATTGCAAATATTTTAGTATTTGCATGAAAGATTTCAAGTGTATAAATATGTGCATATATGCCCACGTATAGTATATCAATAATCTTAAAAAAATACGAATATTGTTTATTTTTATATTCGTGAACTAAAAATTGTGAAATAAAAGAAATAGAGAAGCATGAATGAATTCTTTTTTAATTTCTTCATCATCGCCGCGTATACAGCATGTAGCTCGTATTATTTATTTAATGTGTTCACATATTTATTCTATTTCTTGAATTACTGTCACTCCATTTTCACTTTCACTTAACTAATAAAAGTAAGAATAGTTATAGCTGAAATATGGATGTCAATCATTTGTGTTAAACGTTTACATGGAACTTTGAGTTCTGAAATAACAATGCATAAGCTTCTATTTGTATACACAAGATCATGGTAAATGGAAAAGTACTTGAAACTTTTAAGATCTTCTATTTATACAAGTTAAGTTTACGTAAGACAGACGTCTCTTTAAAGTAGAAACGTCAAGATGTTAGCACACATAATAAAAGCTTACACAATTTTTATTAAGTTTTTATTAAGTGAATACTTGATAGAATTTGACGCCATGTCTTATATCCCTCAGATATTGTTGTGATCTATTAAAATTATAATTTTTAGAATTTAAAACTTCGTTCTTCTACGATCGCATAAAATGAATTTTCTATGCTATGATCGTGAGCTTCAATTTTTACGCAGAACAGTGATAATCACTTTGAGGGCTTATTAATATTAAGTTACAGACCCTTTTAACATCTATCAACAATAGCTCAAAAAATTCGCATCAAAACGCACACAAAAGTGAAAAAGTTGTTAGTACCCTCCAATAGTATTGCACTTGTACATGCGAGAGACATTATGTTTTCGAATGACTGCTCTATAGCATCAGTAAAAGTATTATCAATTTCCAGTTCATTCAGTACGAGTTTCGATGCGTCATCATCAAAACTTTTTTTGTAACTTTATAACCTTGTGCGTCGGAAAACGAAACTACGGCGCCAACTTTTAATACGTTCGCTTTACTTTGCCCTTTTAATCTTCAGCAGCGCCACTTTACCGTTTTTACCTCGCGCTCACTTTATTCTCGGCATTATTCCGTTCTCGCTCTCTCTCTCTCTCCCTCTCTCCTCTCTCTCTCTCTCTCTCTCCCTTTCATTGTCCTTTGGCTTTTTCAGCCATTCAGCGTTTGCTTCAATGTCTCAATGTTCACGCGAACGAGCGGCTGACCTTATTTTCTCGACGCTCGTATTACGCGACTCGCACGAGATAGCACGCAAAGCTCAAGAGCTATATCAGCGCAGTAGCGTTGCACTTACTTTTCCTCCCTCGATATCGTCTCTCTCGAGCTTGACCATCAGCTAACAAAGCTTAACTCGCATTGTGCAAGTTCGTTTTCTAGCTTTAATCAAACGACGGTTTTGTTGTGTGCTTTTATTTTTTTCAATGAAGGATAATGTTTTGAATACTTCTGGTGATATTTATTTATTTGATCTTTTGAAGTAAAATTATACAAGACAATTATAAACAAATGTCACATGAGTTATATAATAATGACGTACCGGTAGACAATCATTCAATAACTATATTCATATTTTGACAAAATTAATAAGTATTTGACCATCGACTCTCCAATCCCACTATTTATCCCATTATTTATTCGATTAGTCACTTGGAAATACAATGCGATCGCTATTTTTACAGTGTTGCGGCATGTTTTCAGTTTCCATCTGGTTATCGACTAATTTTACCATATGTTCTGATATCCAATCGATGTAGTGAGAAACTTTTGTGTAAACAGTTGGATACGCAGAACAGTGATAATCATTTTGAGGGCTTATTGAGGTGATACCTACTATAACGTTTCCGTTGATTATTAGTGGGCTACCGGAATCACCCTATTTGAAGAATTTTAAAATAAATAACAAATTGTACATTTATTTCAAATGAAAATGTATGATAAAAGACTTACCATACAAGCACTCTTAGGTTCGCCAGATGGTATTATTGTGCACACATGTATTGTATAAATATTATAATGTTTTCCAATGTATTGCTGTTGACAGTAATTGTCACTGCTAATCAACAGGGTCAACTTTTGGAGTATTTGCGGTTTCGTATGCTCATTTCGAAATTTTTTCTACATGTGGAATCAATCGTTTACTAATTCCGAATATACATTTCATATTAGTATTTTAGCAGATTTTCATGAATTTACAGTTACGGTTTGGCCCCAGCCTGCAATACGTGCTTTTGTTCCTGCAGATACTTCGGAATAACACTCTGGTAGAGTAACAGGAGCGACAAATTGGTTTAACGCGAACGTAGGAAATACCTGTTTATGAAAGTAAAAATATCAAGGAAGTACTTGAATGGCAATTTTTTAATAGAATCATTTAGTTATTAACCTTAAGTAGTGCAATATCGTTGATAAATGCAGCAACCCCAACGTAATTTTCATGTCTGATTGCTGAACTTACTGAATGGATGCTTATGGGTTGACTTCTATTGTAGCCTGTTGTAACTGTTATTCGATCTGCGTTCAGTTGAATCAAGGGGCTTGGGAAAAAATGAAAAAGTTATATAAAATTATTAGTAACAAACTATATTGTTTATGTAAGAACAAGTACAATCTTACTTATCGATGCAGTGTGCAGCAGTAAGCACGTAATATTTGTTTAAAATAGCGCCACCGCAAAAATGATCTCCCTTTGTTTGAAGAGACACCTATAAAAATATACGTGTTTCACAAAAACTTTATGAATCAGCCTTACAATGATTTTAGATTATATTGTCTTTATACCACATATGGTATCTCTTGTGGTTCTGTATTTTCTCCATTTTGAATTCTGAGATCGAGTTCTTCTACAAAAAAAAAAAAAAAATAACTTTTATCTTAGGCATAAACTGGTAATACTAACATAATTTTAATTAACAAAATAATCACATATTACCTTGTACTTCGGTACTATCAGTTAAGTACGCCAAAGACAAAATTAAAAGAGTTGCTCCAAACATTTTATTGTAGAATCTGCCCCTAATAACAAACACTCGTAACTGTCAACTCAAGATCAGACGCTGCATTTATGAAAAATATAAAACTTCTTAATATATCTTAGTCGTACGCAACCGTTTGGATAACGAATGAAAGTTAAGGTCGCATTTGAATCATAAACACATCAGTAATCTCATTAATTCTATTGACTTAAATTCTTTAATATTACGCAACGACAAGCTATATGCAGATAATACTAAGAGATAAAAAAGCAAACATTCATAAAACGACTCATATTTCATTGTGTAAATTAAATTTATTACTGTATAAAACAATTGTATTTCACTAGCAGGTAAATCAATTACTTAATAGAAAATTAATCATTTTTCTTAAGTAGAGTTTTGACAAATGAACTCAGTAAACGTAGTTTATGGCATTTGACGTCAATTTCACTTTAAGCTCATGATGTAGAACGTAAACTACACATAGCAGACATGGATAATTTTTCATTTTTTAAGGTCACAATTTTTTTCAAATATACAAATATAAATTCAAGTTTTTCGCGAAGAAAAGTAACAATTTATCGAGAAATTCTCAGAAAGATCTAAATTATATTAAATATATAAATATCTGAAGCTTTACCAAATTTTCGTCATGACAATAAAATATTTGGAGGTACCGAGAAGGCTATAAACTATATGGTACATTACATACATTACATTACGTACATTACATGCCAGAATTTAACAATTGATTAACTTGCCGTTATATACCTGTGGTTCAATATTGTCATACGTATACGTAGAAGGTGATCCACACAAGTTCTGTGCGCGGAACGAGAGAGAGAGAGAGAGAGAGAGGGAGAGAGAGAGAAGAGAGAGGGAAAGGGAGAGAGAGAGGGAGAAAGAGAGGGAGAGAGAGAGAGAGAGAGAGAAATGAGAGAGATTTGAGGGGCTTAGCTTGATTAATGACCTTATTGTGGTAAGAGCGGTTGCGAGTACGTACGTTTTGCGTCCAGTGCGATTACCTCGTTATGGAGTGAGTTTATGCTTCTAATTTAATAAAAGATAAGTTTGTAATTGTCGTTGATTACTAATAGTCACGATACATTTATTTTACTGGTTTCCATTTGAAAAAACAGAATATTGATTCATGTAAAGAATACGTGGCCAAAAATAATTTGCACATATTTGCATTTGTCTTTCGCGAGGAAAATTTCACGCTAAGTACGATATTTATCATCTCATCAATACGTTTCAAAATATACGTTTTAAAAAGGCGACTATACCAATGGTTCACAATAACCAACAGCCAACTAATTACTGTGAAGAAGTATCTTAATTATTTTAGAATCTACGAGATCACAAATATGAAATTAAGCGTTCTATTACGAGAAAAAATTTTGCACTCCAAGCTTGGTGAGGGTAGTCACGTCGTTATATCCATACGCGTCGTGAACGAGGAACGGCGCATGGTAGGTATGCAGATCGAAAAATTTGAATATTGAAATTCGCGACATGAACTGCCATTACCGCTTCGTCCATCAGCATCATGTGCGTGCGCGTGCGGGTGCGTGTGCGTGTGATCGTTGCAACTGTGTATCTCTCTAAAATAAACTGGTATACGTACGCGCGGGCCAGAGAGCTTCTGATGTATAGCACACGAGAGACAGAGAGTAAGCCGACTGGACAGTTACGCCAACAGAGATAAGATATTTGGTTATTGGGTACAACTGTTTTTGAAAGTGGACAAGCCATTACAGCGTCATTTTGTAGAAACACTACCAGCGCTGTTTTGATAGCAGCTTTCTTTTTCTTGCACAAATTAACTAATACATTATGCCTCATTAACGAGCTCCGATCCGATGTCGTTAAACATATATATCAAGTTTCAATCAAATAAATTATTAAAAATAATAATAAATAATTATAAATTTTTATAAATAAATAATTATAAATAAAATAACTATAAATAAATTTAAGATCATAAAAATATTCGAATTCATTGCGAATTCCACAAATGACGTAACACTTAGAAATCACTAACCTTTTCGTTGCAGAACCAAGTCTCTACTGGAAGTTATGAATCATAACTCGATCGAGCTCAAAAACTTGTCTTGTTTCAATAGCTTTATTTTATTGCCTGATAGCAATTTTGGCATAAGCCAGAAAAGCTCAAACACGTCAAGGCTCTTTTTCTTTTTTCCTCTCTAACTCTATCGTCTTGACAGATAAGTATTAGCGTATATGTTAGCGTTTAGTTTGCAAGTTTCAAATATGTTCTTAAAACTACTCATACACGTTTAATTAAATTTATATTTTTATTCTGTTTTGTGTTTTTCTTTTATTTATACAATAATGATTAAACGTATTTTCATAAAAAAAGTTTATTCATTTCCAGGCAGGACGAGATAGTAAAAATATTTCAGAAAAATAACAATGTAGCAACAGAATAACAAAGTAACAAAATTATAAAATGCATATATAAAACAATTTCATTTATTAATCTCTTTTTCGCATCTTTTTTAAAACATTTTTCAAAATTTACTATTTGTAAAATGTACATGTTTTTTTATAAAATAAAATTTAACATTTTGAAAAGGGCATCGTATTTGAACGTTTAAGCAGGCTGTTCGTTAAACTACATAATACAACAGAACTTGACTAAAATAAATTTCTCAGAGAAAAGAAAACATTCTTGTATGGAGGACGACAATATTTTTTAAAACTGAATTTATTCTGGAGCATTTCATATTTTCATATGAACTAGATTAATTCATTGTTATTCGAAAAGCATACAAATAAAGCGCAAGTATCATAGCAGCAAGATTCAATTTTATATTTTTGTTCATACAGATAATGGTATTTACCAAGATTAATTTACAATCTCGAATTAACGCACGTTCCATATATAAATTATTTCATTAAAAATAGTATTTAATGGTGCCCATTTTTAGTAAAATGAAATTAAAAAATGTAACAGTACTACGAATTTTTTATTTAAAGATCAACGAAAAGACGAAACTTTTATATAGTTATTTCATAGTACTTTTGCGAAGAATCGGGACATAATTGTCAATATTGATGACAATTATTAACAAATGTAACAAAGCATCCTATCAAGTAACGACCCAGAATGCCGGGAACGATTTATCACGTTGGTGTTGTGCATTCGGTTCCGCGAGAGCAGTAGCCGGTCACGCGCGACGCATGCACACTATAGTTACACAGCCAACGTTGAGAGCTGGACATCGATTACGCGTGGCTGCCGTGCAACGAACAGCAGTAGTATTAGTAGCAGTAGCAGGGTTACTTGTATATAAGGCACTGATTCATTTGGCCATATACGCTCGTCGCTTCGCCCCCCGGAATATTACGTCCTGTTTAGTTTATTAGGAGACCAGTGGTTCACGTGCATTGTCTATCGAGGGAGATGACTCCCAAGCGAGCCACCCTGCGTAATTGCCGTGGCCCTCTAGCCGTTACTCCTTCCTCTTCTCCCTTCCCTTCATTACGGCTGAACACCGGCGCGTGCAATCTCGCTTCGCTTCCAGGACGCACAATCGCCAGTCCCCTTGCTATTCACACGTCCTGACTATTTCCGACACTTTAGTTGGTGTCCACTGTCGACCAGCTTGTGTTTGTATACTAGTTTACAGGAGATGGCGCCTGCGTCAGTTGCCCGCTTTCTTTTTTGATCGGTGTCCATCGCGACAAATGATACTTTCACTTTATCTTCTGTGTCTCGTTGTTAAGCTGTTGTTTTTGGGCATAAAATTTATACTTCATCCCAATTTTTGGGTTGCTTCGTGAACGATTTCTAATTGGTTTCTTCAATACTTATTTCGTTTGTTCATGTCTAAAAAGATGGCTAGATGAGTTTTTTAACTTTTTATTTATTTGATTGACAAGATAAATATAAAAATTTAAATGTAATAAGGAAAAAGTTTAAAGTGTAATATTCTTTTGTAACTACCTCATTGTAATACCCTGAGATAAGTTAAGTAATATTGCACGGTGATTTCTTCGCAATACTGCACTTATAGAATCTATTAACTTCTGTATGTCAGCTGAATATATTAAAAAAATCTACAAAATGAGATATCGGGATGAATTTAACAAATTATGATCATATTGCAGCATGTCAAAACATGATCGAATGTTTCCATTGTGAGAAAAAAGTATATAACAACAGCCGGTCCGATAGCGGCTAAATTTTGTTGTATGTTTATGTCAAAATATAAATTACAGAATATGCTTTGAAAACGAATATGAAAATTAATCGTCTATATTGTCATTTTTCATAATATAAGACCATATTTGTAAAAGTAAATTAATTTTCAAGTAAATTAATTTTTTTATGATTTATACTATCTAATGATTAATTGTAAAATCATTTAAGTTTTTATATTTTTATAAATATTACAATATATGAGAAGATACTATACGTAAAAGGTTCTTAATTAATCAGTGATATTGACCAATACAAAAAATTTCCATCTATAATCTGTTAGGACTGTCAGTGTACATGGTTATAGAGAAATAGAAATTTAATATCCTAAACTATCATGGCAAATTGAAATTATATGTATAATGTTGAAATTCAGTTCTATAAATAATTTACAAGTGTGAAATATAGTTAAATTGATTTATGGTTCTTATTCATGATAGTCAATAGATTATAAGCATATTACAAAAATACAAGAAAGTTATTTTACTTCGGAAAGGAATGACTTATTAATTTAGATGAATTTGAAAAATTTTGTTAATTGAAAATATATTGATAATGCTAATTATAGTGGGATGAAATTAAAAACTATTAACATGGTAAATAAAAAAAGAATGTTATTTTATCTACGACGACCTTTTTTAACTACCGCTAATCTATTCCGTAATATACAAATTTACCGTCATAAGCTATAGCTTACCCACCGTCGATAAGAAAAAACCCCAGTGCATTAGTATATCGGTACGTACTCTGCCCGCACATTAATTCAAAATCAATCCCGCGAAATTCAAAATCAAAATTATTTTTGGTTGATTTTTCTTGACGGTTGAATTGAGCATTGATGAAACCAAACGATTATAGATAAAGGACTTATTTTAGCAATTTCTGCCCAGGTAACTTGTCAGAAAAAATCTATTTGACGCCATCAACGCTCAATCGTTGAAAATAATTTAGGTTTTGCACTTCGTGGGTTACAAAGTAATATCCCGTGGACAGCTCTAAAGTGTACATACACCCACCAGTAATGGATTCTGCACGAACATTTTGAATTTGACTGCTGAAGACAAAGTAAATATAGAATATAATCGACAGAGATTGAACTCTTGATTATCTGCATACAAAAAAAAAGATAGATAGATAATTGATAAGTTTGAATCTATATTTACTTTGACTTGAGCAGACAAATTTAAAACATTCATGCACAGATCAATACGGGTGTAGATACTCTTGAAAGTTTAAAATAACTTTTACTTACACGTATCAATAGTATATTATTAAATCTTATAATATCAATTGATCTAACTTTGAAAGGCAACTTTTAATTAACTACTTTAAATATTCATTTTTAATCATTTATCAAAATGTAAATTCTACAAAATGCTCTTGGAGAAAAGTTTTTAAAATTTATAAAAATATACTCAAAGTAATAAAAAGATATATTTATTTTCATACAACTTAAGTAAGAAGGATGAGAAACTCAATGGAGAATCTAAAAAAAACATGACGTATGGTTATCGATTTATTATTTGCCTTAACATATAAACAAGCTTACTTGATGAAAAGATGTATGCATCAAGAAAATATAGTACACAAAGGTGTAGTTTTAGCACTAATATTTTTCGCTTTCTGTAATTCTTAATAATATAATATTTACAAGACATTATACAAGAAGTTTATTTGGTTCCGAAAGAGGCAGTACAATAGTCTTTCTGTTGATCATTTATATCTAATTTGAGTATTCGTGAGTTTTACTTGTATTTACGGAGATTATAGATATTAGGTAAAACTTATAAACAAATTGTATAATTTAACAAATCAGAAAACTACATAATTTCTTAATATTATATTTTACTCCTATAATTCGGCGTTAAAGCAGATGTTTAAAGCCAATTATTGCATAACAAATAAATCAGTTTATAGGCTTTTCATAATACATTAATAGATCATCAAAATGTTTTTATTTCTGTTCCGTTTTCAAACCAGTTTAACACTTTTCAAATTCATAGGAAATGAAACCATAAGATATAAATAAGTCATTTGTCAGACAAAAAACGATCGGATTAAAAAATGCTTGTTGAAAAAACTGTCACACTGCCTCAGAAATACTACGTGAAATTGTCTGAAATCAATCATTCGAATAGATTTCAATAACTTTAGCGTTAATATCGCTTTAAATATACATGAAGAGCAGCCGGTTGCCTCCTGTAGGGCTCGATTAGTAATCACCGAGAATGGCCTCTTCGGAATATCCACGCCATAGGAGAGATGTATGAATATTTGCATGGGGGGAAGAACGGTGGTCTATGAATGTCAATTGGGTGGTTCACTTTATAACAGACATCGCAGGAAGAGCATTCCGACTGTCACTACTGAAATCTGGTATTGCCGGTTTGCCAAGTTCCACTGGTCATGATGTACAGCTGCTTGTTTCTCACCTGTATGTAGATAAATTGAATTATCAGTAGAGTAATTTTCAATGGTAACGTGATTTGATTTCATAAAAATAATTCATTATTTATTGAATTACAGCATTGAAATAAAAATATGCAGATTCCGTTTATTGAGGAAAGATCAGATTTTTTTTGATAATTAATTTAATAAATAATTTTAATTTAATACAAAAATGTGATTATATAAAAATCGGCGAATCGATTTGTTCAAACAAATTGAAAATTTCGGAAAATTTTATGGCATGTAATTACACAAATTGATACGTATTTTCAAATTATGCAGTCTCGCGTCAGATCTGTTGCTATGAATCGCCAATTGCCATGTAGACCTATAAGATCAATTATTGGAATTTGTATTAAAATTTAACGGAATATAAAAATTTTTGATACAATTACTCGAATTATTGAATTTAAATTATGACTTTTAGACGTGTAAAAAAAGCTGGTGAAAATAGTACGATGTAAATAGATTTGGTCAGTAATAAATCTTGATTATGCTAGACTTTACGTACGTAAATGTCAATTCACTCGATGGCGCGAAGGAGGAGAAAGTTCAAAGTGTGAAATTGACGGAAACGCGGCGAAACCGTGAATCTCACAACTTCATGATGCTGAGGAGCTTCTTTGATCGAGAGATTCTCTAATTTCCGGCTGTTGAGAGGCTCTCTAGACGGATAACACGACCGAGATGAAAAGTGATTCTCCGGGGAGAAAACTTTGAGTTTCGCAGCTCGGCAGTCTCCCGTTTAATTATGTCGAGATAGCCCTATTATTTGAGGTAATGAAATCCAAACGAGAACAAAATTCTTGAGCGAGAATTTCTCTTATGTACTTATTTTTTTGTGACGGAAAAAAAATAATAAAAGCCGAAATAGTGTGTTATTTATTCCGCCGAGTAGGCATCATACGTCCGATGTTTTATAAAAGCTCATATATGGATTATAAAGCGTGTGCGAGTGGGGGTTTTTCTTATCGAAAATGTAACGCTACTATACGCGTTCAGATTCGAAGCTCTGTGCCATCGTACCGTCTCGCGGCTCGTGCGGCAACGCGTGTGCAGGCAAAAGGTATTTACAAACTTGATGTTCTCATTATACTTTATAATCCATATAAAAGCTCCATGAGTTCGACTCGCATATGTGGTTTGTTTTTATTCGATCATCATGTGTTATTTTTTTTTTATTTTTTGCGTATTTTTTCTGATTGAGTAGGGGATAGATCATGATATTGCCATCGTATATTGCGGTTGAGTTTTATTGCGATATGATTTTGGTTTTTATGTTAATCGACTGGGCATCACATTTACATCGGTATTATGGCACAAATGAGCTGAAAAAATTAATGATGCTAAATTAAATTTGTAATTACCGATATACGTTTTGCAGTTATGAATAACCGTTATAATATTTAAAAGTCAACTAGAAAATATCGTATTTATACCAATTATGCTTTTGTATTTCTCTTATGAGTAGCAAAAATTTTATGTCTTGGAATAACCAAATTTCAAACTGTATTATTTTATGCTTTGCGCTCGGAAGATTATTTGATAATAAATAAAGACATTTTTTCAAATCATGGTAATAAGAGGTTTTATTTACCGTTGAGCACATGAATATTCACGAAGCTTGTGCTAAACTGACCAATGCTGCAGGCGAACTCGCCGCTGTCGCTCTTGCTCGCATGCTCGATCCGCAGCCTCGTTAATAATTCGTTGTCCGTTCTGGAACATATAGGAATAATATAGGATATATTGTATTAGATGAGGCTTTTCGTCGATGTTCTTTGTTTTATCCAAAATTTCACTGTTGGTTTTGTTTCTGTTCTACGAATTGTTTATGAGAAACTAACTTTTATTTGCTTTTTGAAATGTTTACATTGGCTTGTAGCACAAAGTTATGTGTAAAACGATGTATTTGTCAGTAGTAGAAATTATTATTTTACATGTTGTTTATCGAGTCACCGACAGTTAGTATATTTGATAAAAGCAAATGCTTGCACAACGTGGACTGTGAATATATTATAAAAATAGATATTTCTGGAACAAAGTTAGAAAGAATATTATTGAAAAAGTTGAGTATTTGTACTAATATCACATTTTTATTCGCTAGAAAATGGAAAAAGCCAGTATACATCAATAGCAAATATTTATTAAATTTTTGAGAGTGAACGTCTTTATTTTCTACATATAATCTTTTTAACATAAAATTCTATATTCAAATATTTAAGATAGTCAAGAGAAAGCATTCGTGTATTATTTCAGAGAAAGAAAAGTCCATATAGGTTGATTTACGGCATTCAAACTTACCCGTTGCTATGATAAACGTCGACGTGATCTGGTAGCGATTCGCCATTTTTCTTCCACACTGGATGTGGTACTTTTGAGTTAGGCCGCGATGGCCTTACCACACACGTCAACTCGATGACACTTCCGGTTTTGTAATAGCGATCACGTATTTCATGGTTCGCTTCATCCACTATTCTTATGTCGGGAGCTATAAAGAATTAATACGTAAATAAAACAGCTTCGTTTTGGATATGTGCATAATGGCATTGTTTTTGGTTCAGGTACAATATCTAATAATTTTTTATAGTTTGAAATATGAGAGTATATTTATTTACTATTGATAAAAACTTCATTTTATTTTTAATTATTAAAATCTGATAAATAATAGTGTTAAATAATCTATTTAATGGCAAAGTTAATAGAAAATTGAAATAATATTTTATGAAAGCTTTGGAAAATGTCAACAAAGTGTTTGCAACTAAAATCGGATTTAGAAAATGTTCGATGCATCACACAACAAACATCGACACTCCCCACAGCAAGGTTTCTATTATTTCTGTGATATTCGTAATGGCAGACATCAAAGAAGGTCTCGTAACGCTCGAAGCGTCCCTTGAAAATACAACTTCAAAACCAGCGCGGCAAGCCAGAGCGAGCAATAAGTGAAATTGCGTCCTTCCAAACAACCTCCATCGCGAGCTTACTTTCAGCCCTCGGCAAAATACTTTTTTTCTATGTATCCTCAATATCATCCCCGCGTATAAAGGATCAGCTTTGATTACTAGGTAAAAAGCAAAAAAAGAAGAGAGGAAGTAGAGCTAAACGAATTGCCAACATCAATCGAGAAAGGAAGGTCAACGATTGCTCTTCCGTGCTTAAAACGTGTTACGCATCCAACAAAAAAAGAGGAACAACCGTGACTGCGTAAAAAGTGTGAAACGAATTCTGCTCAACGGGGTATTCTTTTTTTGGTTTCGTGCCCATGTTTGGCTTTCCGATTCTTTTCCTCCCTGTAGCCATATTCACTATTCAAATATTAAACTTTCGGAGACGAAACAATATGTTTCGGTTCAGCTTTTTGAAATAGATTCCGTGAGAAAAAAAACAATCAATCTCGTATCAATATTTTACGATCGGATCGTCTGGTGATAGAAAATGAAATCTAGTTTCAATTCTATTGTGTAACAGCACATGTGGTGAGATTTTTAAATTAACTTCGCGCAATTGGATTTCAAATTGAATGACAAACTTGGATTCCATCAAAAATTTAATGCACGAGGTGTGTATAATGAAAACGCTTGTAACTAAATCTGTGGGTTTATATATTATATACAGATTAGTCCGTACAGACATTTACGCTTACAAATATGGTTATAAGCTCGGGTAAATATACCCGAATATCAAACCGCTCCTTCCTAAAGCGGAGCTACATTTAAGCTCTTCAAAATTTCCATTTACGAGCGCGAGAGTATAACTTTTGTTTTGCAAATGCTAACCGTAGTTTATTTGCCCGCTCAAGATTACAAAATTATATTTTACACCATTAAGCTTCATTTCCATTTCAGCAAAACACACTCATTAAACGTTTTTCTCAAAACTTTCGTACAATTACTTAAGTCACAACTGAATTTTCATTAAATCCACACACAAGGGAAGCTTTTCAAACGAAGAAAAATTGCTATTGTATGTCGGTTTCGCAATGGAAAGCACAGCGTGCTGCATTGTTTCTTTCGCTGCAGGAGTATAAAAAAGCGTAACATTGTGAAAAAAAAGTCGACTGCCCGACATCTGTGGCCATTTTAAACGGTATTTAAAGCACCAGAATTGTATGCAAAAATCGCCTGCATGCGCATACATTAGAACTATCCAACATTAACGTGGGTGGCACTCTGAGAAAAGTTGCACAGTAGAGGGAGAGAAGTGAGCCTCTTATTGTAATTGAATCCTTACGTCTGTGGAATTTTAATCAAGGGCCTCTTCGTGTGCAGTGCTGTAACAGATTTGGCCTCTTGCTAGATTTTTCGAGTGAAAAGATCTCAGTTGAAAATTATATGATGCTATGCATGTGAGTCATTTAAAAATATTTTTCGGCTAGTACGAAAAACTGTATCGTAATATGATGACTTTTTTAGTTTGCAAGATAATAAACTATTTATTCTTATAAGAAAACAGATAAATACGTTTTATAGACTTTATTTAAGTAACTGCAGTACATCAAGTCTGTTTATCTCCGAGGCAACATTTTCGGGCCACTTGAATGGATTAACGGTGACATTCTTTTTTCCCCTTTCCCAGAGTAACTTTTTACTACTTCTGATTTTCTGTCGTGACTACTGCTAAAGGTAGCAAGTTCGCTTTCGAATAAACGAAGAAAAGTTAGGTTCGGCAGCACAGATACGCAAGGCTGCTTTCCTTTTGCGACTTCTAATGAGTCTTTATGTAAATGTTGTTTTAACTATCGCTATGATCGCTTAGCTAAGTTTGCTTTAGATTTTGTTATTTTTTGGAAAAAAAAACTTCAACAAACTTCAGTTCGTTTTTCTTCAAATCACATAATCAGTGTACATTTATAATTTTATAATTTTTTATTGATCGAGTCCGTAAATGGTCGTCCAAGAGTTGAAAATTTGAGCTAAGTATTATATTGTAACTTTACAAAAACTTCCTCGCATTTTTAAATATAGAGCTATTCTCAGTTCCATAAGTAGAGCCTTTCGAGTTTAATCAAACTAATGATAAGCAAAATAATAATGTCATTCTCAAAAGCGGTACCCTATTCAGATTCAGTGTTTTCTTTCGGTCTCATAATTCCTTTAACGATCGACTTCACACTCTCAATCATTCGCAGGACAGCCATTCACAGCTCCAATAAGGGCACTACGCTCGATTTACCTAGAATGGTGACGTTAGTCACGAGCATTTTCGGCGGGTGCGTGTTCACTTGGCAGACATACACACCACGATCTTCCTTTTGGATCGCCGAAATAGCTAACCGCCAGTTGTTCGGATACTTGAAATGCACCGAGTAACGTGGATCTGCTGAAAATGTACTTTTGCCCACGGTTAACAGTGTTCGGTTTGGACTTTGCCGTATCCACATCACCTGCGAAAGAAAGTCGTAAATTATACCTACGAAAGTACACGTTGCTTTTTTGTAAGCCGATCCATCATTGGTTATTAATTAATGCTATACCCTTCTAATTATTCTCACTCAAAAATTGTCATAAATAATGCTTGATTCGTTATATGAGATTATAATCATTGCATTCATTGACAAAACCGATAAATTATTCTGTACTTTATTTCTACTGTTTTATATCAATGCAAATGCCAAATTGTTAAGTCGAATAATTCATCAGTGTCTATAAACGTGCGAATTTTAATCACGATTTAATTTCAGGATACATTAGTTAATTGTTTCAACATGATATTTCTTAATTACCTGATACTTTATTTATTCATCATACTCTTATATTCAAATTTGCAAACTGTTCTAGTTTTGAAATACAATTAAGAATGCTTAATTATTCACGTGCATGTTTAAATAAGCTCATAATTTCATAATTACTTCAATTTAATCAGTGCCAGCCGGCTAAAAAATGGACGAACGAAAAAGATAGCGTCATTTTAAAACAAAAATAGCACAAGCTAGTGCAGCAAATAACAAAAAGATCGTAAAACGTCATCGATTTTGAATTGGCTATATCCAGCCCAACCCGAACCCTTGGTGGTCTAAGATAAAGACTCGGTTAGCATGGTTGAAATGTAATTACCACTTTGCCAGAGAGCATAGCAACACGGCAGTCGAGAAGGGTGGTGTCACCGAGATGGGCGACATTCTCCGAGACATTGATCTCGTGGCCCTCGATATTCTCAAAGTAAGGGCCACGATGAGATCCATGGTGATGCCTCAAGTGCGGCACTCTCAAAGGACCGCCAACGCTCTCATGGTGATGATGATGCTGATGCTGGTGTTGATTTTGCTGTTGTCCATCGTCTACAACAAAAGAGGTGAGATTAGCAGTTTTTTCTCTCTTGAGTATGCCTTGACAACACGAAATTCGAACTCGAGCTTGAACTTTGAGGTTGTTGTGCCGCTTATTTGGGTCGGAAGGAGATCCAGTTTCGAGTTTCTTTGTTGCAAATGAGCGGACCTTCGAGTCTTGTAAGATCTGAAGGAGTGCTGAGTTGTTACTTAGAGTACTTTCTCACGTAATTTCTAAATTTTAATTGTATTTGAAAACTTTTACATTTTGGCTTGAAAATTTAATATCACCGAAAATACTTAACAAATATTTAATCGATAAGCCTTAATGCTTTTTCAGCTTCTTCTCGTTAATCATCACATATTTAGCATAAATTATTGACTTTTAATAAAACCAATATTTTTTATATAAAACTGTAAGATCACTGGTTATATTTAAATATGATAGTATTTATATAAATAACTATTAATTTATTCAAAAGTAAAAAAACTAAATCAACCGCGATATATCAGTCAAGCAAGTGTAATAATAATTACTCTTAATAAAAATAACTTCGATCAAAAATGAAAATATTAGTTTCTTAAAAAAGAAGCTTTGTTTCCGCGTTTATTTGAAGTTTTTTTTATTTTTCGTTACAATTTCATTGTTTTTGTAATTTTATGATTTTATCTTCCAATGTTTACAAGATTAAAAACCTAGGCATATAATTAATAAGCGTTTGAAAAGAATTTTTATTCATTAAAAATCACAGGGAGACAATAAATTTATCGTTTCATGACGTATGTTTGTGAAGGTGATGATGTGTGTGTGGGTATATGTGTGTATGTACTATCAATCAGTATAACTTTTATATTTGATGAATCATTGTTCATAAATTTGGAAATATACGAAGGTAGATAGAAATACTTTTAATAAATAATTTTTAAGTAAATTTATCGATTAGAAAAAAATTGTATTGTTGATATTTTTTAAGAAAATCCACAAATTAAATTTTTGATTAAAAATGTACTTTTTTACGAAAGATAACTTGCTTTAAAATTTATTCTTTTTACTAATTATTTTCTGAAGTGTATTTTGTAAGTTTTAAACTACGTATAAAATATATATTTCAGTACCTTCTCAACTTAATGATGTAATTAATTTCTAAACGATTTAAGATCATAAGCAACTCAAAGGTTTTAGTCTTCGGAACACTCTTATCAACATTTTTGCTCATATTTATTTTTTTTTTGAATCGTTAGTTCCAATATTCATTGTAAAGTAATATTGGTCATTAGATAATATATTATTGCTATTTATAAAATAATATATTTTATTACATATGGTTTTTTTTAATATTTTTTCGATGTTTGAAATCAGTGAAATATTTCTATAATTTTTTGCTTAATTTTTTTATTTAATTTATGGAATGGGGAAAATTAAAAAGAAATGCTATAGGTATAACAATATGGTCAATTATAGCTTTTAAAACTTTTGAAAGTATAAACACGAAAGAGTGTATGCTTTCTTATCTACAAGAAAGCATACACTCAGAGCACATTACCAGAGTAGCTAGTAGCATTTTTATTGACCCACTTGTAATAAATGTCGCTTCGAATTCCCGTCAGAAATAGCAAATGAAAATCAAATTAGAAAAAGAGAAAGGTAATAAAACTGGAAACGAATTATGATTGAAAAATTAATAATGTACGATTACTGGTCCGCGTTGGGAGGGGGGGAGGAAGATTCGATTTCACACTCTTTTAATTATCATTAAGTAAGCTATTATATTTTCACGAGCAGCTGAGCAAAACCATAAACTCTGTACGTGGTAGCTTGAAGGAAGTACACGTAAAAAAAAAGAAAAAAAAAGATGACTGAATTTAACGAGCGCACGACGTGGCTGCTGTTTCTGCGCCCTGCATTATACGCTTCTACTCAGCTTGGAATACTGATTTTATCCATTTACTTGGAACAATATACTTTACTTTGCTTAATTTTAGTTTCAGTTCACTTTACATCTTTTTGTTACACTCACACACTCACTATAATAAATAATTCAACTATTTATAAAAAGAAAAGAAAATTTTTTTATCAAACGTAAATCATGTTAAGCGCAGTTTTTATCATCAACATCGAATCTATACTGACTGAAAAAATAAGCAAAGCAAATAAATATATTGTATGTGACTAGTTTCTTCATCATTTCAAAAACTCGTGCAAGATATTTTCAATGCATAAATATCAAATCATCTTGAAATATATTTCAATAATATCATTTATGGTAAAACAGATTGAGTAACAGTTTAAGATTGAAAGTGTTCACTATCCGGAAACCCTTAATACAACGTACCAATGACACACGACTGAACGGAATTCCGTAAAGCTTGCATTTCATCTGTCCTCGTAAAATGGAAATTTACTCGATTTCGTTCAATGTTTTCTTAAACAGTCGTTATTGTATTTTAGAATTCAAATTTTTTCTATTCCAAGTCTGTAATTACTGGAAATAAATACTTTTATTTATTCATTTGTGCTTAGGAAGTTGATATTTTTTTGGATACATGACGCTTTTCCATCTTACTTTTTATTCAAGACTTGCTTTGAAAATAATTGCTCAGTCGAGGTAAAAAAAATGATTAACGAGCGTATCCTTGCCATTACTTTTTATCAAAGAAGCGAGAAATTGAACCAACTACTGTGAGACGGCTGCTGCTCTTCTTCAAGTCAATGGAGCAATATCCGGTAAGAGTAGCTCAGCCGTGGAGAAGTCGAGATTCTCAACATGCGGTGCGAAGATCGCGGAAATTTTCCGGACGAGGTTGACCTCGTATAATCAGAAAAAAAGAGTAGAAATGAAGAAACGCTTGCATACTTTGGGAGGTAAATGAAATAAGTTATTTGTACGGAAATCTTCTTGGTTTTCATTTTATCTAATAAAGTTGACAGGTAACTTCTATGATTCTCGTGGTAAGAAAATAAGATTTAATATTTTTTCCTATTTTTTGAAGTAGAAAGATGATTTCTAAATAGTAACTGCTTGCCAAAGAAAATGGTGGAGATTGAAGGATGTAATGACAATTTTTCATCTTGATAAATCCTTGTTAAAATAAAGCGAAATAGAACGAGAGAGAGAGAGAGAGAGAGAGAGAGAGAGAGAGAGAGAGAGAGAGAGAGAGAGAGAGAGAGAGAGAGAGAGAGAGAGAGAGAGAACTAAGAGCGATGAGAAAAAGAATCACAACGATTCTAACGTCATAAGTCGTATACTTTGTCAAAGAGAAACATGTCGGAAAAATATCACTATCTCCAAGTTGTAAAAAAGTATACGTAGGAGAAACCTTATTTGATGTGAACGCTAAGTAAATGCTTGATATTTCAATATTGAGAATTGTATTTTCTTAGATATTAAGTTTATCATATCACTAAATGCTGAATACTATATTATACGATCCTTTAATTGTCTTTATTGTCAGTACGAACACTTTGTACAAATACAATGTACGGCTCGTTTGATTTTCTTGACAGTGTAACATAGTTATTTGCAATAAATTTCGGTCACGCTTTCAATTCAGATGTGCTTTATGGTTACTACTCTGGGGAACGTGTTTGCTGCGATTCCCAAGACTGCTGCAACAGAAGCACGACTTAGTCCCTTGAGGCGATACTTGAGATTTTTTCGCGCACGACAGACTGGATGGTCACGGTTAAGCTTTGAAAATGTATGAAAAAGAAAAAAAATCTATGTAACAAATTTAATTTCATTGATTTTGTATTCTCATTGGGAAAGAACTCTGGATTATTCAAATATCATTGTATTATATTATTTATAAAATAATCGTACGAATTTGACAAAATATACCTTCTCATACCGTTGATTCTATTCTAAATATCTTTTATATAAATTACTGTTTTTATATAAAATTGTAATCATAATAAACTCACACTTATACTCGACCGGCATTACTCATTTTTCTTCAGCTTTTATAATTATCATCTTACGTTTACTTGTGTTTAAAAAATAATTACTGGTATAAAACGAGCTTTGCAACCGACTCAGTCTAAGTCTCAATTATGAGCAAAAATAATAAGTCAGTAGGATAAATGAGAATTGATTAATTCATTCGGGCAGAAACGACAGAGAAAAAGAGAAAGAGAGATAGACAGACAGACGGAGCGAGAGGTAGAAAACGAAGATCGAAACTCGATGAATTATGCATTTATAACCTTATTGTGCATCCTATCTCGTTTGAGGGTGTACTTTCGTCAGGAGAATGAGGTTACCCTTTAGAGTATGTGATTAAGCAGCTCTCACAGTAACGGTTCTTGTGGTAAAGAAGAGACGGCGATAATCGCTGGATGCAAGAGGAAGAAAAAAGTTTAGTGGTTAGCCCACAAACATGCTCATGCATATTAAGAGCTATATACCATAAACTTTTGAATGCATACTAGATCGATATTTTTATAAAAGAAGATGCTTTTCCTGACTTTATGTTTTCAAATTAAATAAAAGTAGGACACATTTTATGAATAAATTAATATTTGTTAACAAAAATAAGTATACACTAAGTAATGAATGTATGCTTATAGTATTAATGTATAATTGGAAATAAAAGATTAGCATTGAAAATGTCAGCAATTTGTTGACTGTCAGAGGAACATATGTTTTGAGTAGTTAGAAAAAAAGTAAAGCAAGTATATTCTTTCCTGCGAGTAATCCGATTAAGCAAAGTAGCGAGCGAAAGTAAAAGAGGGAATCCCCGCCCCCCTCACCTCTTTTCCTCAGCAGCAGCAACAGTCAGTGCATCGTCAAAACGTTTTATTCCGTCGTTTTCAAAGGCTTATCGTCCAAGACTATATATACATATATCTACGTGAGTTCGTAAGTCTTCGAAGAGAAATAGACAGAGGCAGAGGAATAAAAAGAAGTAAAAACGAGAGCGGAGCTTAGAAACGTTCGATAGTGCATCGCGAGCAAACTTCGAAGAGCATCAATCATGTGGCTCTTTAAAACTTTACGGCCAAATTCGGTCATTGCACGTTTACCAAATGCTTTTCTACTGTCGCACTCTATGCTCTAGTTCATAATTTAATGTTACGCCGAAAGCGTCGGATCAACAATTGTCGAGGTCGCGACTAAATTATTGCGGCTGATGATTGAGCGTCGCCTCGCCGCACCACCCACGTAGCCACATTTGCCAAGATTGAACTACTGACGCGACATTTGTACTGTCGCATTTAGCCTAGCAATCTATGCTATTGCAAAGTAAACTTTTGAATTCGAATATTACACTTTCGTTACACCATCGAAGTGATTTCCAGAAATGCGATTGTACTCTAAAGTAAAATAGGTTAATGGATAAATAAGAAAATCTGTTTAGTTCAACGGGAGAATTCCCCGAGGAAGCTGGAATTGTTTCGTTGTATTAAAGCTTTTCTCGAAGAATATTTAATAAATTCTCGCTGCAAAACTCAAATTTCCGAAGCATGGAAAGTTGAAGCTAACAGTACTCAACCTAGTTATATTCAATCAAATCAAGAGATCAACGTACGCAAAGAACGTGAATAATATCGTAGTAGTATTGAAACGTGAATAATGTCGTGAATAAGATTGGATTAAACGGAGAGTGCAATCTTTACTACGTTTCTTCAGGCTTCGCGTTTTAATATATAAAACACAACAGATTCAATCTGCTAACGTCAGTATTTGCGGTATATTGAATAGGTAGGAGGAATAGATAATATTAATGATGAGTGATCAGTGAGACATAAATCAGCATAACAACATGTAATAAACATTAAAAATGGATTTGTGAAAAATAAATTGCCTGTCCTTTTTTTCTTACTAATTATAACAGTTTCAGTTAATACAACAATTAATACATCCCTCCGTCCTTGCATTTAATACGTTCAAGATTATTTAATTTGCTGCTTGCAAAATGACCTGTCAAATTGATATTATTATTCAAGAAAATTGAAATAATCAAAGTTACAATAAAGTTCACTTTGAAATACCGCGAGAAATTGCCAACTGAGACTTGAAATGTGCTATGAAACAAGATCCGAGAGGTACAATGACAGTTAAAGCTGAGAAATAATTCAGCAAAGCCCAATGGCTGTAAGAAGTGCACAGCTCCTGATCCGCATCCTTGAAATAAAGTGAAGGAGAGAGTGAGAAATGGAGGATAAGAGAGGATTGGTAGAGAAGGAAGGATAGAATAGAATGAAACAGTATCAAACGAAATGAAAATTGATGGCCAAAATTCTAGTTTAAAAGAAAATTAATGTAATTTGTACGCCCCACTCCGTGATTCATCCTGTTATACCAATTTTCTTTTCAATTTTCTCATGAAACTGAATATAATAAAAATATTCAATTTTTATTTTTAATATTTCACTCTATCTAAGCTCTTTCTCTTTGTTCTTGACGGAAACCATAAAAGCGGTAGCAGCAATGTCACATTTGTACATAACGTAACATGGCAAAGTTGTCTTGTGGAGTTACATGTATTTTTATATGATCGTAAGTATAAAGAATTGCAATAAAACTTATTTGAATAGAATCATGAATTATAATGAAAGTATAATCTATTTTCTAGAATTTCACCTGGAGCCAATATGAATTAGGACATAAAATAGTATTTCAATGATATAACCAGTAAATTGAGGGTCATTAAAATTGTATACATTTTTTAATAAGTTCTTAACAATTCACACTTCTTGTTGTTCACGTGGTTAACTTTTTGTTTATATTCTATCATAATTATTTAAAAATTATTTTTCTTTTTCACTTTATATCGCACTTTTTTTACCATCTAGTATCTATTCAATCGATCTCAGGAAGCAAGACGTGCTTGGCCTATTTTAAATGTCCTGTTATCAATTTGCCGAACGTTGTATTCCCGCTATTTTTCGTTTTCCAACGCGTTTGGTAGTTTCAAATTGTCATGTAAATTTCACACCACATTCACGTTTTTTGTGACCTATGTTGATAGGAATGGTCAATCACTTTTCTATTGAATGCTTGACAATTCTAATTGGATTTCCACAATCTCGCTGAGAATTCGATTTTTGCGTGAAAGAAATCAATAGTGATAGAAAATAGTTTGATTGGACAATATTTGAAGTTCATATTTTGTATAAAGTACGACCGGATAGTCTTTTTTGCTTATAGCAGGTAAAAGTACACTAAAAGCATTAAATGCAATCAATGAGCCACAGAGTCTCGCCATCATGAGAAACACAATGGCTTTCCGACGGAAGTTCAAACAGTCGTAACAACTGCAATCGACCTATGAACAGCTGATCAAAGCAAAGCTAGCGGTGGAGAGTCCGAGTATCTTCGCTTTGATATATCTGTGTACACGGTGTTGCGCGCTCGCGCCCGGGCACACGGCGATGTCAATAGCAAATAGACTACCGCCAACTTGCTCGATTGACTTGCTCTACAAAGGCTTCCTGCTATCCCACGACCGCAAAGTTTCTTAATCGGTTAGACAATCACTTGAAAAGGCAGCTTCAGTTTCTTTTTATTCCATCATGTTTGTGTGCTAAATGCAGTAGAAACTATTTTTTAATTGCATTCAAGTTCTCAAAATTTCATCGATGAGTGTTACTTTCTATAAAATCTAAGAATTTTCAGAGATTTCCATTAAGAAATATTTATCTTTACAACTATAACCATCTTAAAAATATACGTTTCTTACGAAATTAGTACAATAAATAATTAAGCTGCTCGTTTTATACAATATCGCTAGATGTTTGGCACAGTTTAATATAATGCGTCATTTATTTATTATAACCTACAAACTTGTATACTCATAGAGGTTAAATGAATAATTGAAGTTTACTCAAAGTGGCAACATTGAGAAACAAGCTTATTTAACTTTTCATCCTCTCACGGGTTGCTGAAGTGCTATCTACTAATTCAAAATTCATCAATTTAGATACTTGAGATGAAAGTCATAGTTGAGCTGTATTAAATTTAAGTAACAAGACTTGCGTACATTTTGTATCTGCCTCTATATTTTTTCTTTCAAAGAAAATTTTTTTTCAATGTACTTTTCAAACTGGATGCGTTTTTTTGAGGAATCATGAGAAATTCAGAAAACTATTTTTCTTATTTTGTACAAAATATAGATGAATTATTACAAGCTTACAAGTAGTATAAAATATAAATATATAAAATCGATGGTAACTGATTATCGGAACGTTATGCGATCCGATGAAAGGCAAAGTTCGATGAAAAGTTTATAGAAAGTTGCGGTTGAGAAAAGTAGAGGCGTTCGTGTATAAAGTAAAGTATACTAATTCAGATGCAAACGAAATATGATTTGAAAGTTTAATTAAGCTGTAGTAATTGCTGGAACTTTTACAATTGGGAAGAAAAGCATGCTTACAAAGTATAAATTGTAAAATATCTACTTTTTTAATTCAATCTTCTTAACATTGCAGTGATGACAAAAGTTAATAATAGTATTATAGGTGAGTATGAAGTCCATATTTTATTCAGGTCAAACCAATTTTTATTCATACTATAAAAGATAATGTAATGTTTCTCGCGGAAGACAAATAGGAGTATCCATATCGTAAACTTTATGTGCTATAAAACTAACTGTTGGAAATGTTCAAAGTTAATGGATATCAATCAATCAACTGAAAAGACTGCTTTTAAATATTCCATCACACTCGTACAAGAGAATAAAAGGAGTATCGATAAATAAAACGATAAAATTTAGTTTTATGAACTGACCAGATATACGGGTGACGTTATTCGACAGTTTATTTAAGTCAGTATAGTTGTCGTAAAAATAAGACAGACTATGTCGACGATGATAGGTCGCTGTGACAAGTGTGGCGGTTGCTAGCATCAGGAATATCCTCGACCCCCAAACTCGGTCCAAAGACATCCTCCTCCCTCAACATTCGCATCCCCTGTGGTTCAGTCACGATTAGCCGCGAACAAACGTGCTTACTCCTTCTGTAACATTCGGATGACAAATCACATAACAAATCGCTGTAAAATTTTAGTTATAATTTACATTTAATATTTTACATAATTGCATGATAAAAAATTTAACGGTTTCATTTTATTATCAAATAGTTCAAACTTTCGGCCTTGTTTACTAAAATATATATTGGAAAAGAAACAAGCATGAGATGAAAACCTTCTCATATCAACCATCGATTTCTCGTTACATCTTTCATGAAGATGACGTTGATACTACTCTACGAAAGTCAAGAGCCTTCCATCGTTGGAAAGATAGCAAAGTAATAGATTCGGATATACATATACATGTATAGCCTTACAGTTGAAACGTAAAATTTGTAGGTGGCCTCGGGATTTTATTATTTTTGTGAAATAAAATTTCTTTCAACTCAGATCGCTTTTTTCTTGCCTCCATTTTATGTCTTGTACTCTGTTTGAAAACTAAACAAAATAAGATTACTAAAATCTAGATGATAATTCTAAATACAAAACTAAAAGTGTTGAAAACAGAAAAACCTGATTTAAAAATTATTCCGTAGATTTTATAAAATACCATTCATTATCAATATCATTCACCATTAATCTATTGAACGCTTATACGCGCATAGATTCGTTATTCGCCTTTTTATATTTTTATCTATATCCATCGTATCATTATATATGCTATGGTAGATATAAATAAAATTTTATGATATTCATATTGATACCGTTTATAAGAATCTATGAATATAAAATGGGAATTACAAAGCAAATAATTTTAACCAAGCTATGCCGCAGCAAGTTATGTTTTTCATTAAACAATGCACTCATTTGATAAGTTCATAAAATTAGAAACTAGTACTTTTTGCAGTATTGTAAAAAAAAGATGACGTACAATTCTTTTTATCAGTAGTTATTCATAATATAATTTTGCTACCAATTTCGAAGGAAATTAATGTCAAATTCATGCACAACTCGTTACTAAGCAGACGATGAACAAAGGAAAATTTATTCTTCGCACTGAATGCAGTATATGCCTGCAGTTCGTACTTAGCTACACGACTTGCGGACTATAATACAAAAGCAGGCGACCGCAGAGTTAAAAAAAAAAAGAGGAGGCTAAAAGCTCGCGCTCGCACGTACTGAATGCTTAATGTGCTTTATGTCTCTAGAACTCGCCATTCTTACGCGGCGGTTTTAAAATAACGTCACACACGTTGGCAATAGCGCGCACCTTAAACGTTCGCCGCTAAATGTGCTGCCGCGCGCTTGCACTGCTTAATTAGTACTCAACTGAGCGAGAGCCTTAATTACATTCGAGGGTTTTGCAACAAACGCCGACTTGCCTTTTATTTCCTTTGACACAGAGCATCCAACTGCAAACAGAAGAAAAATGCACTAGATAGTACGATTGATAATGTTGAACTTATCTTAAGCATTTCTAAGCTGCTTTTGAGACGATTCAGTGCCATGTCAGTAGTCGATATCAATGTCAAATCAGACAGACACATTGTCTCCGTTTTTCTTAGATATGTATTGATATAATAAGTAGGTGGCATCTATTTAATATTTTTGAATAATTTTTCATTTCTCCCTTTTACTTATTAAAGTTTTGCGTAGCGACGAATTTGAATTGTTCCTGGCTGTCATTTTATAAAAAAATTCATTATAACAGGAGAAAAATAAAAGAAAATTGTATTTCGTAATTTTCCACGAAATTGAGTTGCTTTTTATACTGGAATATAACATAAATTTTGTCTATGAATTAACTTAGATGAATTCAGATCCAGCTGCTGCAAATTAGAATTTCTCATTTGAATCGAATTAAAAATAAATCTCGATAATAAGACTGACTTTGATGAAATTCATAAATTTCCAAACACGTCAATTAAAGTTCATAATTCTGTTAACACTTTCCACAGTCGAGTATAATGGAAATTTTTCTCGCACCGTCATTTAATGAGATATCCCCTTATAAGAAGAATATAACAAAGGCAGCTAGGAATTGCAAAAAAGGTAGTCGTACCGGTAGTGTCCGTTAGCACGCTCAAAGAATGTACAAGTGCGAGAAATTGGACATCTAAGAGAAGAAAAAGTGGACAAGGACCTCAGCTTTTATGAGGTTTTTATGCTAATGAAATTTAATGTGGCGGACTTTGTCTTGAAAAGCAACTTATCTCAAATATAACTGGCCGGTCGCTCCTACAACTCCTACAGCCTCAGCCTGATCAACTTACTTTTCCGATACTTTTAATAAACTATAATAAAATTTTAACCAGTTGTTTTGGATAGAAACTTTAGAAAAATATTATTTATACTTTTTCGAACCTCATACGGTCTATTAAATTATTAGAAAACATTATTATTTATAATTTTATAAACTAAATTACAATTGCAATATGATAGCTTACGATTGTAAAATAAAAAAATTAGCAATAATAAAGTCCAATGATTTATTCGGATTTCTTTCACAGTGTGTCTTCGTAGAATTGAGACTATTGAGAAAAGGCTACATTTATCGAAGTAAAAAATAAGATAAGTGCGAGGAATCCAAACATAAAAGCGGCGAGCCGTTCAAATTCAAAAAATACGAGCCTCTATTGTGTCCCTGGATAATAAAATAAAACCCGGACATTTTCAATGTAAAGGGGTGAGACAAGGAAGCTCCAAGATAATGGCTCTACAACGTGGCTGTCGTTTTTCTTGAAATAAAAATTAAGAGCGCTCCAAGTCAGCCTTTTGCAGCCACACTCTTTTCACTTCTGCACTTGTTTGCTCAGTTATATTTTTCGTTGATTTTGTACAATATTTTAGGAGATAAAAATATAATAATTTACAATACATTATTATGCAATGTTGTGTTATAGAAGTTATTATCAAACATTTTTTTCCGTAATATATGAACTTCTTTTATATATTATTTACTATAGTAAAATTTATCAAAAGTCTAGTACAAAATTATTTGAATTTTTCTTCAAAAGTTATTGATGCTTCATTAAAAATTTAGGTTGTTATTTAAAACATAAAAAATGAAGTACCCTCATAAATAAAAAGTAATCGAAACTCATCAGACAGTATAGGATTTTAATAATTAGCCTTTTTGTTAGCTTGAAATGAAATTGACCCGGTATGGCCGACATTCCATCGTGATTAAATAATTTCTCTGGGTAGTGCTTAAACATTTTTGATCATACGCTCTAATGAGACTTCAATTATAATTGAGTATATTTCAGAAAACTTTTTCGGTTCGTTATAGTTGAATGTTTTCATTTAATTGGTATTTTAAAAAGTGCTGCATTTACTATTTTTCAGAAAAACAACGACAACCTAACGGCTACAAAAATAGCAACTTTATCTTATTTTCTTTCATTTCTTTTCCAGATAATATCTACTGGTAATAAAGACACAGAGTGCATCTCCCTAACGTTGGATCTCGCCAACGGCGTCAATTTGCTAGGGCTACTGAGAAACTGACCACAGCGTGCATCAGAACCAGGTCAATTGATGCATTAAAATCTGAAGGCCTGCTTCACCCCACTCTTATACTAAAAACAGAAATGTTACCTCGAGGGGAATATTAAAGATACCAATCGTGCATCTTTTCTGTGTAGAATATATCTGATATCCATGCACGGTAGTGTGCGCGCTGCAATGTAAAATTTTACGGTATTAATAATGTTAACTATGACATGAAGCATTAATACTGAAACGTTCGTGGTATTTAAAATCTTCGTATACCCCTGTATTTCTGAACGGGTCGAATTATGGATTGATTGCATTGATATTTCTCTAAAACTCGAGTATTGCGAGTTACAACTTTCCAACAAACATCAATGCAACTATGCAACGAGATTCATCATTTACGGCGACGCAACAAACAGCAACAACGAGAGTATAGTGCAAAGACTTGATGATTACGAATTAGATTCTCTGGAGTATTAGCGCAGCTCGAATTTTCCATATCCCTAAAGATTGTTAGGTGTCGAATCAGGAAGAGTCAATTAACTTGAGTCCAGCGTTTCATCGTACACGCATACGCGTGCATATCTATGCTAATTAATGCACTCGAGAATTTTGTCGAAGTAGAACTAGCCGCGCATAATTACGTGTGTACCAAAGGTTTCAGCTCTTTCATTTTGTGGTAAGTAAACATGTATTGATATGCTACTATAGCAAAGAACGTAAAAAGTAAATTAATATTTGTATGAAATTTTGATTGTGAAGCTATAGGTTATAAATTTATTTTTTTTTTGTCGCAAGCTAACGAAGCGAAATTCATCGTGCATTTGATAGAAGCGAGATTGCAATTTAATCATGCCTACGCATGCTCATCTGCGTCCATAAAATCAATCTTATCAGCTGGAATTTGACGTGGGCTATGACTGATTTTATGAGAATTATTATCTTTGGCAAGCTAGCTATGCGAATCGTTGTTGCACGGAAGGCAATTTGGCGTTTATCGTCGTCGTCGCCAGTGCGTTCCTCGTAAAACTGGCCTACATGCACTGGCAGTCTGCTTGGCCTAATTGATCAGGCAAATAAGCGCGCTACCGAGGCTATTTTGCTGATAGTGGCATCGCATCCGCGTGTGATTATCGTGTACGCTGATGTGATTAGTTGATTGTACCCCGAGCCTTCAATGCTTCCAAGCCAGTTAGGCAATTATTTTTTTTCTCTCAGAAGACGATTTTTAATAATTTAAATTACTAGTTCAGAATCGATATTAGTTTTATCTTTATAATCAGTTTGGAGATTTACATACATTATAAATTGCTTCGTGTTTATTGTAAAAATATATTCATTAGCAATTAAATTTCTGAAAATATTTCTTATTTATTTTTATTATTTCGTATTTATTTTATTAGAACTACTTTCTATTAATTAAATTTAGACATTGTCTAAAAGTTTTTCTACAATAATACCTTCATAAGTTGATAACTTATAACTTCTAACTAAGCTTTGAAAACAATTTATGACAAATCAATAGATATAACTGGTCAGATAATCACAAA